GTACTCACCCAGCAGCTGCTATGTTCATTTCCAGGTAGGTGGTCAGGGAACAGTTCAGTTTATCCAGTTCTGCTCTTTGAACGTACTACATATGCAGAGCCAGAGTGTGTACGCGTATGTAAACTGTGGTCACACCACACCTGTGATATATCACCGTGAACGTCAGAGTGAGAACAACAATTCTAGCACAAGAGCTCCTAGTTAACTGCGTTAAAATGTTGAGCTGTGAAGGCTTTTGAAGCATCACCTATGGTGATTTTTGGGCACTGTAGATTTTGGCGATATCAGAGGCGCACACAATTTTAAGACATGGAATATTTGGTTTACTTGATGCAACCTCATCTTTTAACCAAAAATGGGTATTCTATTGTGTTTTTGCACCCAAATTCATTTTATTATTTTTTTTCCTGAAAATTTGCATTAAATAAACAGTTACACAAATACCATGTGACATAAAAATGTTCAGCTATCACCTTTTATTCTACAGGTCCCCTGCTTTCAGAAAATATACAGTGCCTTGAAAAAGTATTCATAACCCTTGAAATTTTCCACACTTTGTCATGTTATAACCAAAAACGTAAATGTATTTTATTGGGATTTTATGTGATGGACCAACACAAAGTGGCACATAATTGTGAAGTGGAAGGAAATGATAAATGGTTTTCAAAATGTTTTAAAAATAAATATCTTAAAAGTGTGGCATGCATTTGCAGTCAGCCCCCTTTACTCTGATACCCCTAACTAAAATCTAGTGGAACCAATTGCCTTCAGAAGTCACCTAATTAGTAAATAGAGTCCACCTGTGTCTAATTTAATCTCAGTATAAATACAGCTGTTCTGTGAAGCCCTCAGAGGTTTGTTAGAGAACATTAGTGAACAAACAGCATCATGGAGGCCAAGGAACACACCAGACAGGTCAGGGATAAAATTGTGTAGAAATTTAAAGCAGGGTTAGGATATATAAAAATATCCCACGCTTTGAACATCTCACGGAGCACTGTTCAATCCATCATCCGAAAATGGAAAGATTATGGCACAACTGCAAACCTACCAAGACATGGCCATCCACCTAAACTGACAGGCCGGGCAAGGAGAGCATTAATCAGAGAAGCAACAAAGAGGTCCATGGTAACTCTGGAGGAGCTGCAGAGATCCACAGCTTAGGTGGGAGAATCTGACCACAGGACAACTATTAGTCATGAACTCCACAAAGCTGGCCTTTATGGAAAAGTGGCAAGAAGAAAGCCATTGTTGAATGAAGTCCTACTTGCAAAAAGCCATGTGGGGGACACAGCAAACATGTGGAAGAAGGTGGCTCAGATCCGATGAGACCAAAATTGAATTTTTGGCCTAAAAGCAACAGGCTATGTGCTGCGGAAAACTAGCACTGCAAATCACCCTGAACACACCATCCCCTCCGTGAAACATGGTGGTGGCAGCATCATGTTGTGGGAATTCTTTTCTTCAGCAGGGACAGGGAAGCTGGTCAGAGTTGATGGGAAGATGGATGGAGCCAAATACAGGACAATCTTAGAAGAAAACCTCTTAGAGTCTGCAAAAGACTTGAGACTGGGGTGGAGGTTCACCTTCTAGCAGGACAAGGACCCTAAACATACAGCCAGAGCTACAATGGAATGGTTTAGAGCAAAGCATATTCATGTGTTAGAATGGCCCAGTCAAAGTCCAGACCTAAATCCAATTGAGAATCTGTGACAAATCTTGAAAATTGCTGTTCACAGATGCTCTCCATCCAATCTGACAGAGCTTGAGCTATTTTTCAAAGAAGAATGGGCAACGATTTCACTCTCTAGATGTGTAAAGTTGGTAGACACATGCCCCAAAAGACTTGCAGCTGTAATTGCAGTGAAAGGTGGTTCTACAAAGTATTGACTCCGGGGGGCTGAATACAAATGCATGCCACACTTTTCACATATTTATTTGTAAAAAAATTCTGAAAACCATTTATCATTTTCCTTCTACTTCACAATTATGTGCCACTTTGTTTTGGTCTATCACATAAAATCCCAATAAAATACATTTAGGTTTTTGGTTGTAACATGACAAAATGTGGAAAACTTCAAGGGGTGTGAATTATTTTTTGAAGACATTTTATAATGTTCTGAGGTTTAAGTAATTTTATTGCCGGGATTTAGAATTTGTACGTTTGCGAAAAAAATTGCTCTGGAGCTGAACTGGTTAATCATCCTCTTTTAGGCCACTCCTACTATTAGATGCAATCGGGTCTTACCATTTGTTCTCTTTGGCATGCCTCACAGAACTTGTTTTTCAACTGTATTCCAGGGGGTTAGCTGATAATTTGTCATGCTGTGTTAACTTTTTAAATGTAAACCAGGCCAAATTATCTGTAATGGGTATTGTCAGTGTTTACCAATTTTGTTTATACTGTTTAAATATGAATTGTTTTAAATTCTAATAGGAGTTCAGTACCTTTTTCAGGTTGTCAGTAAAAAAAAATGTGCTCTGTCGGTACATTTTCCATGTTCTGTCAGTATAAAAAAAGTTGTGGGAGGATGGCAATGCTGGTGCTCACATGTCATTATATGAGTGGCATTCAGTTCAAAAATATTGAAAAAAAAAAATTTGTGTTGCTGAATTGAACATCTTGTTGGAAAAAGGGTGAATTTGGGTAAAATAATGAATACAGATAAAGACTCATACATCATATTGTATTGATTCTTATGTCTTTATCGTTTTATGTTCCATTATAGAAATAATGCATATATCTAATTCTCATTGGCTTAGAAACATAGAAAACTACTCATTCATGTAAAGCTCAGTTCATCTACTATATGGTCTAAATCATTTCAGCACATTTCCAGTATTTTTTCCCTTTTTTTTTAATCTCACATATATTGTACACCATCTGCTTTTTAGATTTTGTATATTAATTTCTTACATTATAGCAATTATTATATACATGTATGTAATTCATTCATATTTTTTATATTTAAAAATGTTTCTTATGAATTAGACGTTTTTTTCATATCAAATTAATTTGTGATGTACTGTATTGTATTATATGAGGATATTATGGGATACCAAGGGAACCTCACTAGGAACCATCAGATGGGTCATATTCCATAGTTTTTGAATTTCCAGACCTTTTAAAATTCTAATATATAACTTCAGAGTGATGCAGTAAAGGTCTTCGGTGACTATGCAGTGAATGTCACAAAGACGAATACTATGGGAGGCACCATTTCCTATTACCTGGCCAATTCTGACACTTCTCTCATATACTGTATGTAAAAATAAGTGTTTTTAAGCTAGAAAATTACAGTACTTGGAACTCCCAAACATTATATATATTGTTTAGCAGAAGTCCTAGAGAATAAAATAGCGGTAATTACAATTTTTTATGTCACACGGTATTTGCGTGGCAATTTTTTAAACACAATTTTTTTTAAATAATTACACTTTAATTAAAAACAAAACAAATATATAACCCAATTTTGTCATAAAATACGAACGATGATGTTTCGTGAAAGTAATTAGATACCCAACATGTCATGCTTTAAAATTGCGTACGCTCATGGAATGGAGCCAGACTACGGTATTTAAAAATCTCCATAGGTAACTTTTTAAAAAATTCTACAGGTCACCAGTTTAGAGTTAGAGAGCAGATCTAGTGCTATAATTATTGCTCTCATTCTGACGTTCACGGCGATACCTCACATGTGTGATTTGAACACTGTTTACATTTATGGGTGTGACTGACATATGTGTTCACCACTGCGCACAAGCACAGGGGGACAGGGGCGCTTTTAAAAAAAAAATGTATTACTATTTATTTTATTACATACTTTTTATTTTTACACTGTTCGTTTAAAAAATATTTTTGATCACTTTTATTCCTATCAGAAGGAATGTAAACATCCCTTTTGATAGAAATAAGCAGTGACAGGTCCACTTTATGGTGAGATCTGGGGTCAATAAGACCCCGCATCTCTCCTCTACAATGTAAAGTATTAGGACAAAAAAAAACAAAACACTGATCAAGTGCTTTAAAAAAAATATAGTTTACATTAAGCCAGAACTGGAAGTGATGTCATGACGTCACTTCGGTCCTCCTAAGCCATAGCCATTCATCTCATCTCCACTCTACTTATTTCTGTGACAAGCAGCTACATCCACCGGATCGGTTCTTGGCGCTACCAATCATCCAGGTAAGCCTGAGAACCACCGGGAAGCGGCAGGGGGGCGACCTCTCCCACCACTTCTAAAAGTGATCCAGTGATTAATCCACCGCTCTGACCACTTTTATCAGCTGAAAAAAACAAATACTGCTGCAGCCATAACCCTGGTATTCTAATTCCCTCCAAAGACGTCTTTTATCTATGGCCAGGTCAGGAAGTGGTTAAAGAGAGCCTGTTGCCAACAATTAATTTGAATAAAAATCTTCCCATAAGATTGAACAGTATGTGTATTTAATATATTTTAAGCATGTTATTTGCCTGTAAAGTTCCCCTGGTTTAGAAATTGAAAAGCTCTGAGTTTGCTTCTGGGTGTCGCCATCTTGAATGTGATATCAGCAGCCCCAAAAGATTCAGAGCTGTCAATCAGATGAGAAGAAAACATTTCAATTTGCATCTCCCTGGCAACTACATGAATGGTTATATATGGAGGGGGGGGGGGCAGATGAGCTGGGACAGGACAGAGAGTAATTAGACACACACAAAAGAGGAGAGGTCTATGATTTTAATAGGAGGAAGGGTGCTGTGCTAGGGAACTGACATTTTCCAGAGTTGCCCAGTGAGTTCAGAGGCACACTGCAAATCAATAAAGAATTAGTGATGGAAAGGAAAAACACTGCAAGTCAGCAATATCATAAGTCTGTGACAGAGTCTCTTTAACCACCTTCCGCCCACCCTATAGTACAATGATGGGCACAAGGTGGTTTTCTCGTTCTGATAGGACGTCATATGACGTCCTACCATTCTCACTGAGCATGCGCGGCTCAGGGAGCGCGCAGCGCTGCGATCGCCGGTCCGCTGTTTCCCTCGGACACAGCGGATCACGGAAAGAGCCGAAGATGTCGGCTCGGTTATGTGATCAGTTGTGTCCAATCACAGCTGATCACATGTAAACACGGAAATGCCGGTTATCGGCATTTCTCTCCTCTCGAGCTGTCACGTTGAGGCGGTAATCGGCTTTCCGCGGAGGGGACATGTACACTGATCATCAGGGCACTGATGATCAGTGTGCCCTGATGATCAGTGTGGCTCCAGAAGTGCCACCTGTCAGTGCTCATCAGTGCCAGCGCCCATCAGTGCCACGTGCCAGTGCCCATCAGTGCCACATCAATGCCACATATCAGTGCATACCAGTGCCAGTCAGTGCCGCCTAACAGTGCCAGTCAGTGCAGCCTAACAGTGCCAGTCAGTGCCGCCTATCAGTGCCAGTCAGTGCTGCCTATTAGTGCTGCCTATCAGCGCCATATATCAGTGTCATGTATCAGTGCTGCCTTTCAGTGCCCACCAGTAATGCCTGTCAATGCCCAACAGTGCAACCTACCAGTGCCTCCTCATCAGTGCCCATCAGTGCCACCTATCAGTGTCCATCAGTGCAGCCTATCAGTGCCCATCACTGCAGCCTCATTAGCGCACATCAGTGAAGGAGAAAAATTACTTATTTACAAAATTGTATAACAAAAACTAAGAAAACTTTTTTTTTTCCAAAATTTTCAGTGGTTTTTGGTTTGTTTAAGAAAAAATAAAAATCCCAGACGTGATTAAATACCACAAAAAAAAAGCTCTATCTGTCTCAAAAAAATTATAAAAATTTCATATGGGTACAATGTTGCATGACCGCGCAATTGTCATTCAAAGTGGGACAGCGCTGAAAGCTGGAAATTGGCCTGGGCAGGAAGGGGGTATAAGTGCCCTGTAGGCTAGTGGTTAAATAACCAATAATGCTGAATATCAATCATTGTGCTTGACAACCACTTTATAACCCTAGGTTCACATATATGCAGCTGTGCGGGCATGAGAGCCCATTAATTTGAATGGACACCCTTGCCCCTTGACACGCAGGGAAGAAGTCCCTGCACTTCTTTGGAAACCAAAGTCCGCGCAGGAACCTTGGTTTCCAGTGCGTTTGCGATATCCAGTGCGGGCAGCGTGCCATTAGAATTAATGGCACCCGCACATGGGTCCGCATTCCTCCATGCTCTTGGTGCAGCTGCATGTATTTTTGTGCAGATCCGCAGCGGCACCACCCGCACATATGTGAACCTAGCCTAAACATAGCCCTTACTGACTTGATCTCATTATATTGATATGAGCTAAACATTTGAAGGATTCATCAAGTTCTTATTAGTTCAGGAAACATAAACCATGTCTCCTTTACTTGTATGGTGGCGTTTTAGTTGTAAAGTAGTTCTGAATATAAAGCAGAACCCATGTTGCTTCCAAAAGTGGATTCTAGAATGAGTTCTTACTAAATTAATCACCTTACACAAGGGGTGAAGCCTTTCAAAAACTAATTCAAATATATTTAGGACAGTAGGTCCTCCAAATAAGGCCCTGAGAGAGGGGCAATAGGTGGCTATGGGTAAAGTGTAATAGCCACTGTATATTTAAAACCCAATAACTAAAACCTTATGTAAGCTTTAGGATGTTGAATTAATTTAAAAGCTATACAAGTAAGTTGATCGCAGTACATATCCATAAAGTCACAACTGTACATTATGAACTTCCAAACATTTTGGAAAACAGGACAAAAACGGTGGGGAAGTAGGGAGAAGATATAGACAAGACAAGACAAAGTAGAAGACACACCAAATGGGGAAAAATGTAGGGAAAAGGAAGGAACAAATGAGGAAGGTGGATAAGAGAAAAGGTGGTGGGTTGGGTAGGTAAGTAATGGTAAGTGTGGGGGATGTAATTTTCAATATTTTAGAATCTGTCATTCTCACTAAAATAGTACCTAATGATTCTGCCTTCAAACTCCTTGTTTCTTTCTGTTAAACGGAGACAATACTCTAACTGATTTCAATTCATGGGTTTCCAATAGAGACTACAAGTGGTCATTCCAACAGAATTACATAGGCATGGTCCACTGTTATTACCTTCAGGAAACCTTCCATGAGAAATGCCATGCAGCCATCACTTGTGTGCTCATAGACGGGAAGAGGCTGCAGGTAATCAACAGCAAAGAGATACAACAAATGATAACAACATGGTGCATATGATTATTTGATTCCAAAAAAAAATGCCAATTGTTTATGAAACATAGGGGTTTTTGATCATTGTTTTCACCCAAAATCCACACAACTTTGTCAAGATTGTTCCATTTTCAACATAGGGTTCCAGTGGAAATATAGGAGAATCTTGAGAAAAAGTTGTGTGAATCTTGAGTGAAAACTGACAATAGACCCCACAGTGTTTTAATAAACTCAGGGTATATGTCAACCTTTAGCCTAAATATGCTTGAAATTGCACTCACTGACCACTTTATACAGTACACCTTGCTAGTGTCAAGAAAATATCCCCCACACCATTACACCACCACCATCACCAGCCTGAACCATTGATACAAGGCAGGATGGATCCATGCTTTCACGTTGTTTACGCCAAATTCTGACCCTATCATCTGAATGTTGCAGAAACCAGTCTGCCCATTCTCCTCTGACATCACCAAGGCAGTTTCGTCCACACAACTGACACTCACTGAATATTTTCTGTTTTTTGGACCATTCTCTGTAAACCCTAGAGATGATCGTATGTGAAAATCCCAATAGATCAGCAGTTTGTTGGTGCCAGACCAGCCCGCCTGGCACCAACAACCATGCCACGGTCAAAGTCACTTAAATCCCCTTTCTTCCCTATTCTGATGCTTGGTTTGAACTTTAGCAAGTAGTCCTCACCACGTCTAGATGCCTAAATGCATTGAGTTGCTGCCATGTGATTGGCTGATTAGCAATTCGTGTTACCAAGCAATTGAATAGGTGTACCTAATAAAGTGGCCGGTGAGTATATGTTACTGCATATTCATACAGCTTGGTACCCAATACCACAATGAGGGATTTCATACCTGTTGTACAGAAACAAGAAGCAAAGTGGAAAACTTTTATAGGATAACCATGTTTTCTTAGTGTATTTACTGCCATGGTAAGAGCTTTTGAAAGCAGTATGGTGATGTAACCATACAATAGAAATGCATGTGGCTCCTACATAGCGGCAGAAGAAGCTGTACCAAAAAGGCACCCCTGCAACTGTACTGCTAGCAAAACACCCAATAGATTTTTTATATACCAACTATACTAATTAAGAAGTACAAAAGGAAGACTTATAGCTAATTCTATATTTAATCTCCTACTGGGGTGAAACACGTTGGAAGGTGGAGCAGGGTTTATGGAGGGCATTACATGAAATGCACTGTTCTCTGTGGTATAAAGTTTAGTGTAAAATACAAAACGTATCTCCACACTATGCAGATGAGTGAATTGATCTACAGCTGTAGACCCATGTGATACTATATAAAAGGGGCCCCAAAACGTTCTAAACAAAGGGCCAGTTTACTGTTATTCAGACTTTGGAGGGGCCAGAGTGTGGCCAATGAGAGTAGAAAATGTCTTGGCATCAGTGAGGGTAAGCAGTGCCCCATTTTTAGTGTTAGGGGAGGAATAGTGCCCCATCATTGGTGTCAGTGGGAGGAATAGTGCCTCAAGGGCCTGATGAAGGTAAGCAACCCACATGGAAGGAAAATATATTCTAAATATATTTTACAAATATTCTTCCCAAATATATTGACATATATTTGAAATACTACAACTTTGGCAGTATTTAATATATTTCAAAATATATTTATACTGCATGTTGAAATGCATTTTTTATATATTACAAAATATATGAAAAATATTTTTAAAAATACATTTTCAAATATACGGTATGTCTTTAAAAATACATTTAATCTACATTTTTGGAATGCATTTACAAATACGTATATGTAAAAATATATGTTAAAATTACTTTTTTTATATGTTAAAAAAAGTTTGAAGAATATATTTAAAAGATATATAATTTTAAAAATATTTTGGTGCCAGTGGGAGGAATAGTGCCTCAAGAGCTTGATGAAGGCAAGCAACCCACATGGAAGAAAAATATATTTTAAACATATTTTAAAAATATTCTTCCCAAATATATTGACATATATTTGAAATACTACAATTTTTTTGACCGTATTTAATATATTTCAAAATATATTTATATATATATATATATATATATACTGTATGTGGAAATGCATTTTTTATATATTACAGAATATATGAAAAATATTTTTAAAAATCCATTTTCAAAATATACGGTATGTCTTTAAAAATACATTTAATCTACATTTTTGGAATGCATTTACAAATATATGTAAAATATGTTAAAATTACTTTTTTATATGTTAAAAAAAATCTGAAGAATATATGTAAAAAATGTATATTTTAAAAATATTTTTCATATATTTTGTAATATATAAAAAAAATGCATTTCAACATACAGTATGTGTGTGTATATATGTGTGTGTGTATATATATATATATATATATATATATATATATATATATATATATGTCTCATTTGAGAGATTGATGCTGCAACTTACCTGGAGAGGAGCCAGTGGTGGAATATTAATTTCTGAGGGAGCAACATTTGGAGTGATAGCTATCTTGGAGGATCCGTGAGGGGGATCCACAAAAGAGCTTTGATCCGCAAGGGTCGAAGTGATGAGGTGAGAGGCTTATCCAGATGGTGGTCGGATTGTCAGATTCACATGCACCCAGAGATCTACACGAGTTCTTGTTTATTTATGGTCACCAACAGTAGTCATTTGAAGCACGGGTTTTCTTTGGTCACCATCAGCATTTATTGGACTTTGAGAGCACTGTTTTATGTATTATTATATTGTGGTTTTTTCACTACACAAGAGGCACGTATGATTTTATATACACAGAATTATATATATATGTATATGTATATATATATATATATATATGTAAATGTTTCTCACATGTTTTGAGTTATTTGATTTTATTTTGTAGATTTCATGAATCATGGGCACTAATTAATATTAATTGATATTACTATCCCATTTATATTTATTTTTATTTAATTTGATGTAATTTTGAGATCCCACATTATTTATTAATTTATTATATATTTATGTGTGTATATACCTTAGGGAGTAGCGCTACATTTTTTATTGTATTTATTTATCACAATCACTGGTATATGATTTAATGTTAGCAGCTTCTCCTGGTTTTTTATATATTTTTTTATATAGTTTAAACACTTGGGAGCGCAGGAGGTTCACACCACTACTGTTATATATATATTGAATACAGCCAAAATTGTAGCATTTCAAATATATGTCAAAAACAACTGAGTACTGTCCGTGATACTTTTTTTATTTGCACTAACATACAATTTT